TCTCTTTAGAATATGTATACCTTTCATTTCATTTTCTCATCCAATTATTATATTGACTAGCACTTCCAGAGCAGTTTGTTGAAAGAATTAAAGTTAGTGTACATCCTCCCCTTAGTTCTAACTACATTAATGGAAACAATGTTGGAGCATTAGAGTATGATGATGGTTGCTAGTCTAGAAGAAAATCTCTCATACATGAAGGAAGTCTTCTATTTTTATTAAAATTCATTTTTAATTTTATCAAATAGTTTTTCTCCTTTCACCTATTAAGATGATGAATTATATTAACAGGCAGCTTAATAGAAAGTCATCAAAGCAATCTTGGAAAATGAATCTCACTCGGGCAAAGTTTATTGTTCTCTTACTATACTGCAGGATTCTCATAGCTAATATTTTATTTTGAACTCATCTGTAGCAGCTGTGTGTGTATGTATGTGTGTGCCTATGTGCCTGTGTGTGTGTATGTGTGCGTGCATGCACACTATATTTGTCAGGCTTGGTACGCCAGTCATGGTAACTTTATGAAACAATCAGAAAGCTTATCCTTGTTGAAATGCGGCGTATGCTTACATACTGTTCTGTTACCACTTGTTCTATTCTATATTTCAAAAATAATTATCTGTAGATTGACTCTTCATTGTTTTATTTTTCATGCCTCCATTATTTTTCTATTGCTTTCCCTTTCTTGTAATACCCACTCAACTTACTGATTTTAAGGTCACTTAAATTTTGAAACTAAATTTGATTTCTTAAACTTTTCCTTCTCTTTGCTAGTTCTCGTTTCATCTTGATGTATTATTTTGTCATGTCAATATTTATCTTTCCTTTTTCACAGAGACCATTCTTACATACTTTTTTTTTTTTAAATATTTGTTCCTTTAGTCCCTTGTTTTTTTTTGTTTTTTGTTTTTTATTTATTTTTCCCTCAAAGCCCCCGTAGATAGTTGTATGTCATAGTTGCACATCCTTCTAGTTGCTGTATGTGGGACACAGCCTCAGCATGGCCAGAGAAGCGGTGCGTCGGTGCGCGCCTGGGATCCGAACCCAGGCCGCCAGCAGCGGAGCGCACGCACTTAACCGCTAAGCCACGGGGCCGGCCCATTCTTACATACTTTCATTGAGGGTACAAAGCATGTGCTGCCTCTTTTCTGGAGTGTCTTTTGTTGTTCATAAGAAGCCCCTTCTGACCACATCTGAGTTTATGCTGATGAGGTGAGCCAGGGTGGGGCCCCTAGAAAGATCAAGCACTAGATTGGAGAGTGAGAACTTTCCACCCCATGCCAACTTCCGCCCTCCGCCCTCCAACTCCAGAGTGAAGGGGGCTGGAGACTGAGCTCTATAGAACTCCTGAACAAGGAGATTCGGAGAGCCGCCAGGTTGGTGAACACATCAGTGTGCTTTCTGGGGGGGTGGCGCACCTCTGCTCTGTCCAACATGCAGGAGCCCCTCTCCTCTAGCCAGAAAGACGTGGCTTCCCGGAGGTCTTGGTCTAGCACTCCCTGTGCAGCATGTGGCCTGCACCTGGGTCCAAGCTGGGAGACCCAGCAGAGGCAATGACCGGCAGAACTCATTCCCACCACGGCTTGTCATTCAAAGTTTGACTTCAGTCCCTAGACTTCAGTCCCTGTGCTTGCTGAATTTCCCGAGTCCTGAGGTAGCTGCGCTCTGTATTCTGAGCAGAGCTTGTGCTTGGGGAGGAGATAAGCTGCAGCCGCTTCTTTCTCATGGGCTGGCACAGGAACTCTTCACAGAGTGCTTCTACCGATGGAGATGCCGTGGAAGCTTTCACAGATGGGACTATTTTACCTAGTCCTTCTGAACATGAAGTACACTGCCAGAGATGTCAGGCTTTAAATATTCCTTTTTTAAAAGGAATTTTGGAAGATAGTTCAAAGTGGCAATAAATACACTATTAAAAGCAAAGCAAGCAAATCCCTTGGCATTTCATTTCATCCAGGTTTAAAAAAAAAGAAACAAACAAAAAACCCCACATGAAATTAGTATGCCAATCATCTGGTATTTGCAACTAAATTAAAAAGTATGCCATTTGGTATTATTAGGAATAAAAAGTAGAAGAAGACCCTTTCCTAATTTATAAACTTTAAATAGCAGCCACTTTTAAATGTACATAACAGCTTCCTCTCTTTTGGAGCTTCTAGGCCAGTAATCAGGATAAGACACAAATGAAGTTCAGGGGTTTGCTATTTAAGGGTTGCCCTCTATGCTTCAGAAGCCAGCCAGCTAAATGAAAAACTAATTATGTCATTAGTCAGAGAAATACAGACCAGCACCTCATCTGAGCTTTCTGCCACACAATAAATGAGCTGCCCTGTCTGTCCCGTTCTTGACTGCAGCCCCACTGCCAGAGACGGCGGGAGTCCCAGCACCCTGTAAGTAGCCGCGGAGTGAATGAGCCGCAGGGCACAGGAAACAAGTTTCAAGGGAACAATGCTACCTTTGCAAGGGTTCTGTCATTTTCGTTCAGATGAGATTAAAAAGACAATGTGGTTATAAGGAAAATGTCTGAAAAAAAAGAAATGCAAAATGCAGCGCGATGGCAAGGGGCAGGACACGCATCAGAAGCTATTCACACAATGCAGGGGATGTCTGAGGCACCCACACAGCTGTACACACGAGGACTGAGGTGCTGGAATCCCCAGAGCAAGTGGAAGGAGCTGCTTCGGCTTGGCCTGTGCACAGGTTCCAGCTGACCTGGCGCCAGCAACTTTAGCCCAGCCCACTCCACTTCCAGCTTTTTTGGCCCAGCACACTCCAGTTCCAGCTTCTTTGGCCCAGCGGCACTCTAGCTCTTCTTTCTTCGGCACAGCACACTCCAGTTCCAGCTTTTTCAGTCCAGCAGCACTCTAGCTCCTGCTGCTTTGGCCCAGCGGCACTTCAGCTGCAGCTGCTTCAACCCACCCGCACCCGAGCCCCAGGTGCTTCAGCCTAGCTGCACTCCAGGCTCAACTGTTCCCACGCTCCAGCTCCAGCTGTTCCCACGCTCCCCCGCCCCAGCAGCCTCCACTCAGCCACGCCTGAGATCAGCCAGGGACTGACGAGAGTGCCCGCGGATTGAGGCGGGCCAGAATACACAGCCCTTGACCCCCACCCAGCGGCAGCAAGAGGAAACTGCGAACATATATTTTCACTATGAGGAAAAGTAAGCCGACACCAACAGGCACCATGCAAAAATATATTAAATCTCCAGACCAAAAGGAAAACAACAAGCACCCAGAAGTCAACCTGGAAAGCACAGAAATGTATAACCTTAATGACAGAGAATTCAAAACAGCCATCATAAAAAAGCTTAATGAAATACAAGAAAACCCAGACAGACAAGTCAACGAAATCAGGAGTTTCTTCACAAAAGAGACTGAAACTATTAAAAAAAAAAAAAAATCAGAAATCTTAGAGATGAAAAACACAGTAGAGGAGATAAAGACAAATGTGGAAGCCTTAAGCATCAGAGCTAACAATATGGAGGAAAGAATTAGCAATATTGAGGACAGCAATGCAGAAATGCTCCAGATGGAGGAGGAAAGAGAACTAAGACTAAAAAGAAATGAAAAGAAACTCTCCCAGAAATATCTGACTCATTTGGAAATCCAACATAAGGACTATAGGTATTCCAGAGGAAGAAGAGAGAGAAAAAGGAGCAGGGAACTTGTTCAAAGAAATAATATCTGAGAATTTCCCAAACTTGGGGAAGGAGGTGGAAATACCAGTGAATGAAATAAATAGATCTCCTAAATATATCAACATGAAAAGACCCTCTCCGAGGCATATAGTAGTAAAGCTGGAAAAAGTCAACGACAGAGAAAAAATATTAAGGGCAGCTAGACAAAAAAAATAACATTCAAAGGATTTCCTATCAAGCTCTCAGCCGATTTCTTGACAGAAACTTTACAGGCTAAGAGAGAGTGGAACAATATATTCAAAATTCTGGAGGACAAAAACTTTCAGCCAAGAATACTCTATCCAGCAAAAATATCCTACAGATATGATGAAGAAATAATAACTATCCCAGATAAACAAAAGCTAAGGGAGTTCATTGCCACAAGACCCCCACTACAAGAAGTGCTGAAGAAGGCCTGCATCCCTGAGGAAAAGGATTCAAAGTTTTGAACAAGGAGGAAAACAGGTCGACAAAACCAAAAATATTGCAGTCCTCTATCAAAATAGATTAGCAAACACTTAATTATAAAACCAAAGATCAAGGGAAGGTAAGCACCAAGCATAAATATAACCTCATCAAGTTCAACATGAACTCACAACACAAGAAGGAATAAGATGTGACAACAATAACTTAGAAGGGGAAGAGGAAAGGGATCGAATTGACTTAGACTAAGGGAATAAGAGGCCATCAAAAAATGGACTATCACATCCATGAGGTTTTTTATACAAACCTCATGGTAACCACTGATTATTTAATCAGAACAGAATCACACACGATAAAAAAGAGAAAACAAAGAGAACCCCCATACAGAACTACCAAACTGAATTGGTAGTCCGAAACACATGGGATGAGAAACAAAAGAAATGAAAAAGAAGTGGAAAATGAGCGATAAAATAACAACAAGCCCCCATATATCAATAATTACCCTAAATGCAAATGGACTGAACTCTCCAACCAAAAGACACAGAGTGGTGGGATGGATTAAAAAAAAAGACCCAACAATATGCTGCCTCCAGGAAACACACCTCAGCTCTAAAGACAAACACAGGCTTAGAGTGAAAGGATGGAAGACAACAGTCCAAGCTAATGGCAATCAAAAGAAAGCAGGTGTTGCCATACTTATATCAAAGTTTACTTCAAGATAAAACAGGTAATGAGAGACAAAGAGGGGCAATATATAATGATAAAAGGGACACTCTACCAAGAAGACATATCACTTTTAAATATATATGCACCCAATACAGGAGCACCAAGGTACACAGAGCAACTATTAACAAACCTAAAAGGAGATATTAACAACAACACAATAATAGTAGGAGATCTTAACACACCACTCTCATCAATGGACAGATCATCCAGACAGAAAATGAATAAGGAAATAATGGGCCTAAACGAAAAGCTAGATGAGACGGACTTAATAGACATATACAGAGCACTCCATCCAAACACAGCAGATTACACATTCTTTTCAAGCGTGCATGGAACGTTCTCAAGAATAGAACATATGTTGGTAAACACGGCATGCTTATATAAATTTAAGAAGAATTGAAATCATAACAAGCATCTTTTCAGACCATAATGCCATGAAGTTAGAAATCAACTAAAAGGAAAAAACCGGGAAAGTGACAAAGCTGTGGAGACTCAACAACATGCTACTAACCAACCAATGGATCATTGATGAAATTATAGGAGAAATCAAAGCATATCTGGAGACAAATGAAAATGAAAATACACCATACCAACTCATACGGGATGCAGCAAAAGTGGTCCTGAGAGGGAAACTCACAGCAATACAGGCCCACCTTAAACAAGAAAAAGCCCAAATAAGCAACCTCAAACTACGCCTAACAGAATTAGAAAAAGAAGAACAAACAAAGCCTAAAGTCAGCAGAAGGAGGGAAATAATAAAAATCAGGGCAAAAATAAATGAAATTGCAATTAAAAAAACAGTAGAAGGGATCAATGAAACAAAGAGCTGGTTC